TTGGTCCCCCCGCCACTTCACAAGATTTTGGGTTAAACCCCGTCGATGACGTCGTCATCGTGGGTTCCACGTGATAGTGGACGCCACCATTCTCATCGAGAAGAGTCGGCGGCGGATAATGACGACTTGGTCGCCGTCCGGTTACTCGCGATGCTCTTTGATCGTTAGAGACAAAGTCCGTCCTCATCGGCACTCTGCCGAGCATCTCTCCAAGGTCATCTACCGCTGTGCGAAAGCCTCGAGAGCCTGGAGCACTTTGTGCACCAACTGCATCACGTTGAGGATTATCGTGCTCTGTCGGAGCGGCTCCTAGCCGTCGAGCAAACAAACACGTCAATTCGTGGGACGGTGGAGCACCTGGCGCCGTTGGAATCGAAGATCGTTGCACTCTGTATTCAAAACCAGTTGCTAGTTCAGCTTCTGGGTGGCAGTGCACCTTCACGCGCTGCCCCGGCGCCAACGCTTCCGCGTTCACTAGCTGTGAGTGCGAAGACAAATGATACTAACATATCGTCGTCGCATCGTAAATGAGCCATGATCTACTTACAGCCAGTGTGTCTGCGCTGCTTAATCACATTATCTTTTAGTGCCGAGATCGTCAATAAATTCTGTAACCTCTTCGTAGGAGATATAAAGACTGAAATAGCCAAATAAACGACCATGACCAAAATATATTTAACTATTCTTGACCATTTTCTTATCGACCTAGTGCTCAATGATTGAAAATGTGGGTGTGCTCCCTAAAGAGACGTTTATCACATCGGTAAAAAAGATTCCAGATGCTGCATCAGGTCATCGAAATGTACTTGGCTCCGACTTGATTGTTATCGATGAAATACCAGCGTAAGTCATTCGGTAAAAGTTTCAATGGTATTTCTAGCTAATTCAATTTGATTTTTCTTACTAGTATGGCGATCGTTCGCCAGAAACATGCTCAACTTCATGAAGTTGTTGGTTCGCTATCGGACAAGATCAGTGCTGTTCTCGCACAGCAAGAACGTGATTTTTTGGCTGCCTATCGTGCTCACATGTACAATGTGCAGAAAGAACTCTACGCTATGCGCGAAAAGATTCACCGCAATGAGACGGTGGAGAACAAGTCTGAAAAGATCAAAAAGATTGAAGATGAGCGCGACTGGTATCGAAATGAGGCACTACGTCTCGATGCATTTACAACAACAATGACCAAAGATTTAAAGACGATGAAGGAAAATTTAGAGTCGATTGAAGAGGACCGAACTTGGCTTGAAAAGCAGTTGAAAGCATGCAAGAAACAAAACAAAGTACTTCGCGCAGAACTGGATGTGCGAGTCGCAGTGGCTGGCACTAGTTATGGATCAGATAATAGAGGAGGTGACTCTCCTTTCGATTCACAACGTAGAATAGGAGCCAATTTACCAAAGCGTCGAATTTCAAAGGATTTCAGCACCGAAACAGCTTCAGTATCCGAGGTTCATGGATTACCCCAATTAACTTCAGATGCGGTTCGTTCCGAAGAGAAGCTCAAAAAACAAATTCGACACTTAAAACGCGAGCTACAGCAAAAATCAATTGAACTTAGCTCAATCATGCGGCAGCATCATCTTGTGAAAAGTGAAGTAAGAACTGGTCGATCCCTTCTTGAAAGTTTCTTTTTGCTATGTGTTGAGTCAGTGAAAGAGGAGGTGAGTCGACGACGTGAGAGGAGGTCACACACTAAACAACGAGATAGTCAATTGATGACAAGCAAAGCTCATGACTCAAAACATGGCGTCGAACTGACTGAATTCACATCTCAAGATCGTGTACGGGTCATCGAGCGCTTGTTGGCTCATGACGAAGTGCTAACATTCTTGCACAGTCATCTATTTCCATCTGAATTGCCAACAACAGCAAAAACAGACACATCTTCTATAGAAACAAACAGGAGCTCAAGGTCTTCCGGAAGCGAGATAGATAAAGTAAAAGCCTCGTTACCGACTTTACAAATCTCAGCAAGTCTTCCAGACACCTCGAAATCATTCTCAATAATTGACGGCAACACACCAGATAAAGATGACGAAATAGAATGGATTGACGAGGAAGAAGTCGAAGAGGACGAAGTTTTCATTAGGTCAGCCACTCGCAACAGTTTGCCTCTTGACCGCTTCACGAAGAAATACTTAACATCCATGTAAGTGTCATTTTCTTTGTTTATCCTTCCATTAATTTATCTAACTTTTCTGTTCAAGAAAAACTGCATTTATCGAATAGACAAGAAACACGGACGATTTCTTCATCATGAGTTTCTGCAGGTCGCCAAGTTTTACATTTGTCCACTTAGAATTACCTTAGCAAACGTACTGCCCTTTCGACAAGAGAGTTCATCAAAGGTACCCTGCTCTACTACTTGGCCGTTCGAAATGACGACGATTCGGTCAGCACTTTTGATGGTAGATAGTCGGTGAGCCATCAATATAAGAGTTCGTCCTTGCTTCGCGCGATTTACGGCATCCTGTACTAAGCGCTCGCTTTCAGGGTCCAGTGCTGAAGTGGCTTCATCCATAATTAATATCTTTGGACGTTTCACGAGTGCACGTGCAATGGCTACGCGCTGTTTCTGGCCGCCCGAAAGTGCCTGACCACGCTCACCGACAATCGTGTCGTAACCATCTGGAAATGCCATAATGAAGTCATGTGCATTGGCAGCTTTTGCAGCGTTAATCACACTTTCGAGGGTCACATTTTGACTATCAGAGCAGCCATAAGCAATATTGTCCCGTATAGAACACGCAAACAACGGCGGCTCTTGCGGAACAGCTCCCATCAGTTCACGCAATTTTGTCGGGTCTAGCGTCGCAATATCTACACCATCAAGCAGAATCTTTCCGCGGCAGTTTGGTCCGTCTAACTCGTAAAATCGAGCAAGGAGCGATGTTACTGACGACTTGCCACAGCCACTCGGACCCACAAGCGCTAGTGTTTCATTTGGACGAACTTCCAAGTTCATATGACTGAAAATTAACGAGTCAGTACGAGTAGGATATGCAAATGCAACATCTTGGAACTGAATATGACCCGTGAATGGCACTGGCAAAGACGAATAACCGTTTTTAGGAACTCGTGTCTTTGGTTGACGATTGAGAAGCTCGAACACACGAGAAGACGCTCCAAGACCTTTCATTAATTCAGCATAAAATGACGACAAACCTGCAAAGGAGAACCCAACGTACAGTGTGTACAACAAAAAAGACGTGAGCTCACCACTTGTAAGAAGCCCATCAGTAACCATTTGCCCTCCGTATCCAAGAACACCAAGCATACACATTTTAACACCAAGATCCACTCCACCAAAAAAGGTGGCACTTGCTAAGGAACGTTTTCGAGCCAAATCCAAAACTTGGTCGATTTTTTTTCGATAAGTTTCCACTTCATGCGCTTCTTTTGAAAACCAGCGCACGACTCGCATATTGCCAAGTTTTTCTTCAGCCACTTCTGTAGCTGTACTCAGTTCTGTCTGTACTTGGGTTGTAAGTTTTTTCACATATCGACCATAACTCATCGCACCAAGTGCTATGGGTGGTACGACAGATAACATGATCATTGCTAGTTTTGGACATGTGACAACGATCATGGTGATGCTGCCAAAAGCTTGCCCAGTGCTACGTAGTCCGCTCGCTACATTATCGCTTAGCACTTTTCCAATCAACGTCGTGTCTGCACTTAACCGATTGAGCAATTCCCCTGTCCTGGACGAATCGAAGAAACCCAGTTCTTGCTTCAATATTGATGCATATGTGTCTTGTCGCAGTCGATTCGTTATGCGCTCTCCAATCATGTTGCTAGTGTCTACACGAATAATGTTGGCGATTGAACCAACTGCAAAGAGTCCACCTAATAGCGACACAACTGTAGGAAGAGGCATAGCACCAGCTGAACCAATAGACACAATGTCGATCACTTTGCCCATTCCAAATGGCACACACATTGTAATGAACGTCGAGACGCTTAGTGCTGAGATAGAAATGGCCAAAGGCTTCTTTTCGGGTTTATAGAGCGAAATTAAACGCTTGATTTCGCTTGCTTTAGCTGGAGTGACGGCAACTTTAGTTTTGTCGTCTCGATACTCGGACAGACTGGAAAAGAGCCACTTGGAGTGTCTGTAAGGCGAGATATACAAACTTGAACGCGAATGGATACGTGCTCGGAATAAGCATAGTGCTGCATCTTGAGAACTTGATCAAGAGAATTATGAGAGGTGAGACAGCTAGTATTATTAATGAGGAGCAAAAAGACTACGGACCGAGCAAGACGTTGGAGCATAGTGGCTAAATTGCTGATTTTTTAATCATGAGAAACTTTAGCGTCAAAATTTAAATACTAATACAATTTTTCTTTTGATTTCAGCGTAGCTTTTGGACCTACAAAATTGTTAATGTAGAACAAAATGTTTCTCCTACTAGTCTGGTGTCCATTTGAATGTATAGTAAGTAATCTATAAAAAATGTAATGACGATTTCTATGAGGCTTCTTAGCTGTCGCATGATAATGAGAATGAATGTTTTGATAGCATCGCAATGTTATGCGAGACGGACGGGCTTTGAATCCAGCACCTGGGATTAAGGTTTGATACGGTGAATTTGAAATATTCACCTTATCGGCAGGTTCTTCTCTGCAATATTGTCAAGCGCATTCGCAGCAAACTTAATAGAAAAACGATTGTGAGTGCTAAGCGTAAAGCAAGCGTGATCTTGCCGGAGTCACTCCTAAAGCGACAAATATACGGATCAGATTGTCCGTTGAAGACTATCAAACGAAGACTTGTGATTTTGGAGAAAGAAATTATTTTATCTACATGCGATGTAGTCAGCTCGAAGGATGTAGCTGCAGTTTCCTACTTTCATCGCGCAATATCAGATACGATGATATCCCTTTTAGTGACATTTTTGATATTGTTGGAAATATCTCCGTAAAGGACGTTCAGTTGACATCTATCAATCTGAATATTTGGATAAATTGCAAAACTTCTTCAAGTACATATCAAATGTCAATCATTCCACCGTTGGGTGAGTTATGTTGCTTGATACGAGGCACGTCCCAGGCCGTATCTCCTACATGACTCAAAAGCCAATAATTTTTTTTTTCGGTTGCTATGCAAAGACTTTGGATGATTCCTTTTCTGCTTTGGGTGTCAGTAAATTACGACACCTGGGCAGCGCACTCAAATCATAACGATTACAGCTCCTTGACCACGCAGTCTGGTCTCAAGATGTGGGTAGACCCAGACACTCCAACAGAACACTACACGTGGGTGACATCACGGGGTGAAACGTGGAATCTTGTCATGAGTGACGAATTTAACATACCTGGTAGATCATTTAGACCTGGAGACGATCACATATGGACGTCTATTGAAAAACCTGACGGAGTGAATGACGCCATGGAAGTTTACGCGCACAACAAGACATATACTGCTTGCGATGAAGCCAGCAGCGTGTGCAGCTTTCAGATCGAATTGGAAGATTCGATCACAGAGCTGCAAGTCTGGAATAGCTATCTCGAAACGCCGAGCTTTGAAAACGTTACATTTGTACGTATGCCTTCATTATCAACCTTCAATCATGTCAAATAATTTCTTGACTTTTCCTTACTTTATAGTTCTATCGAGGAGGTATGGTGCAGTCATGGAACAAATTTTGCTTTCAAGGCGGTATGGTCGAGGTAAGAGCACAACTTCCTGGAGCTTTGTCGGAGACGTCCGGAAATCCGGATATTCATTTGGGTCCTAATGCTCGTGCTCAATCATTGCGCTACTATCCAACTTGGCCTGGAATATGGATGCTAGGAAATCTTGGTCGTGCCATATTTAGCGGTTCGACAAACAGAATGTGGCCCTTTTCTTATGATGCATGCGAACCTGATATACTACCACCAAACAATCAGCGTATCAGTGCATGCGACCCAAATCCAGGCTCCGGGATGAATCCTCACCAAGGTCGAGGAGCACCCGAGATCGACCTTGTCGAAGGCGGTGGCACCACAATTTCGGCATCGATACAAGTAGGACCTGGAATGCCGCCTGAATTTCGCGTAATCCCACCAAGAGATGAGAATAAACTTTGCATATATTCCAGTTCATGTAAAACACCAGGTGCTAATGTTCCGGGAATTCCAAATAGCGTCTACCTTAAAGCACGTGGTCATCCATCTTGGTACCAAAACTTGCGCTACGCCGCAAACAACTTTTGCCAGCGAAACGCCAGCGAAGTACAAAGCTACGCAACGGTGAAAGCTGCACTACGAGCTGGTGTTGAAAACAATTTGTGCTCCGTCACCACATGTCCAGCTTCGTTAGACATAAATTCCGATCTCACGTATATGAATGCTGACACTAACGATCGTTGGGGTATCAACTCAAACGGAACTTGTTTTTCCGCTCGAAATTCGTATATGGGTGAGTTTATCTGCAGCGCTGGCAACACCGATCCTCGCTGCAAGCCTGTTGAAGGCGCACCAATTCCGCCAAACAACGGGTTGACTTTTGCCTTTCAAATGGATGCACTTTCGGCGAACTGGCCAGTGCATATGGCAGTTTATACAGAATTCGTAGAGTACCAAGTGGAGTGGGTCTTTGGTCCTAATGGTTATGTTCGTTGGCTATTATCAGGCGAACCGCTGTATGAGATTTCTGCCAAATCAATCACAGAACCTCCACAAGGAGCTAGTGTAAGGAACCCAAGCAAGATCATGATCGAAGAGCCGATGTACATCATTTTTAATGTGGCCATGTCTAGTAAATGGGGTGCACAGCCACCAAACCCCAAGAATCCATGTCGTGGAAACGGGTTGGATCCAGTCGCGAATGCTATTTGTGATGCGTTTCCAATGCATTTAAAAATTGATTATATTCGAGTGTATCAAGATATATCTCCTAGCTCACCTATGAGTTTGGGATGTAACCCGGTGACCCACCCTACAAGACAATGGATCATAGATCATTTAGATGAATACGAAGATGAGAAGAATAAATACGTTGAAGTGCGTGGGAAAGCATTTTGCCGCTCGGATAACGATTGTACCGTCCAAACACCGCACGATCGACGTCGCCGCTCTTATGCCGGCCCACAAAAGAGTAGACCAGCAATCGTGACGGGAAAATGTGTGAACCAGCGCTGTGAGTGTACTAGTCAGCTTTGGACAGGACCACGTTGTATTGTACCGACCGTGTCAGGTGCGAGATCCTTCGGTCCTTCGGTTGTTATGGCGGCATGCATTGGATCGATCTTACTTTTGCTTGGAATCTCATCGTTTGTTGCGCTTTACGTCGTAGGAGAAAAACTTGCAGAAGCATTCGAATCGGAGCGCAAGATTAAACAGCAACAACGACAACAATATGGATATTTACGCCGTCAGTCTAGCCATACTCTTCGAAGCGCCGAAATTTAATGCAGGGTAGCTATGTTCGACACTAACAAACGCTACTATTTCAACATGAGATATATTTGTACTTCAGTTTTGATTGTACAAAACGAGTTGACTGATGTGGAAATGCCCAAAAGCACGCCAATACAGCATTACGCGAAGCTTTTGCACTCTGGACTGCATACTACTTCAAATGCAAATAATTAAATGGCAGTTTAAATACTCCGTCGTGATGTTTTCGAAAAGACTCGATCATAAACAACATTACAAGCTATACTAGAGAGTAAGCTATAGTAGATGTTAAATGGAAGGCTAGCTCATTGTTTCTACAATTGTTGCGCCTTCCACTCTTCTATGACCTTAAGTGTAAATACACCGAACGATTCTCGTGGGTCTGAAGTATTTCATAATTTTCTCATATTCTGGTACATGGCTCACCACAAGCGTGATATCAGCAAGAAATTAACCAAAGGTCTCCATTTGACTTACACTGTCATTACCTGTTGGCTACAAATCTGTCCTACTGTAACGCTGCCCCGATTTTCGGACGTCGATCATATCCTTTGACAACGCACTCGTTTGACATGCTGCAATCCAGAATGACGATACCAGATAGATTTCATGACTGAAGAGTTGCTATCACGGTAATATCTATAAGCTTTAAACGAAGTCGAGCCTCTTTGATTCCAGCGAAGCAGTTTTAAAAACCTCACTTTTTCAAGCCGTACGATATTTTCTGGAAACGGTCACGAGCTGCTCGATGAGTCTTATTACGATTATCATTTCGAGATTCACGATTCAGCCCATGACTCAACTCAAGCCTCGCTTGCATTTGTGGCGGCTTGAGTGCCCTAACATCGATGACAATGAGGAGCCTAGAAGGGCCAAATATTATCAAAGACAGGAACAGGTTTGCACCAGAGGTCTTGAAAGATCTGCGAAACATGTCTTAGGCACATGCACCGACCTTAGGATACGAAAGCTGATATGTGTGGGCTCGTACGCATGTTGCACGCTTATCATGACGTCGTCCGCGTTTTCAGTTCGTTTATCCACAGCCAGCCTTGCGTATCTACACATCGCGCTAAAATTTTTAGTGTTACACGCCGTTTTACGTGAACGGGCTGATTTTCCCTCGCGTCCCGCTGACGTCGCCATCCCACACCTCTTCTACAGTATTGTATTGATTACAATTCCCGATCATGCAGGTTCGATGACTGTACAATTGGCCATTTAAGCGGGGATTGGTGTATAAGTACGCTTGCATCCACAGCTAAGCTTGTTAGCTTTCGAAGGTAGGAACAGCAAAGAGTTCCAGATCCAAAAGGCGACAAAGGCACCCCACAAAAAGTAGAAGAAAAACACGAGTGCCAATCGTTAATGATGTCAGTCATTCGAAAGCAAACTTTGCCCTAACAAATTAAAGGTTGAATTCAGCGTTACTCGGAGTACTTATTAACTGATTTAGTGTGTCCTTGTGCTCGGCTTTAATCCTGGGTATAATATCGTCCACATACTATCATCCGACAAGATGCATCACGTAATTAACCGCGAAGGCTCGTTTTACGCTCCAGTCAGGCGCAATATTTTGCGGTATATTCTCACGGTCGGCACTAAACTCTCCAATTCGTTATAGATGGAACCCAGCCCTAAAAGTATGTGCTCTTTCTAAGAGAGGTGAGGCTTACAACGCAGGTTTGTGCTTGTTGATGTCAAATGTTCCGAGATTTTTGTAGCCTTCTGGGCCCTGATAAATTCAGGAGCGCCTTAAGTTGCACGGGAGCTACAAATTTTAATTAATTCTGTGTCGTGGCAAGTGTTTGTCGCTATCGTACTTCTATGATCTTAGCAAAGTATTGTATGGTTTCATCTTGTAATATTCTTTTTTTAAAGATCGAGCAGCGTTATCCAGTCCAGAATAGATCTTGATGACATGTCAACATCAGTTGCCAGGGAGACGAAGTACTTTTGTGTATCTGCGAATGTGCACAATGCTAAAGTACAAATACTTATATAGATGGTGGGTATCCATAATGGAGATGCGTGGGCTGCCAGCCACAGTCCTCAACTGATACAGTTAGTCTTGTTATAATAAATACGTGAAGCATACAGGCAGAATTAGTCTAAATAAAAATAATTTCAAATACAGAATTAGCACAAAGACGTTCTCGGTTTTGCTACTGGGTGGAAAGTTCGAGCCCAATATATTTGCGTTTTTGAATGCAGAATCGTTGAGGCGCGAGATCCTTTGTGCAAAGTACACGGCACCACCCTCGTCGCACCTGGTATCACTTGAAGTCAATTCCACGACCGAGTCGTGAAGACTGTGTCGTCTGTGGGGATTGGACTTCAAATGTTCGAGAACCTATCATCGGGGCAGTTGAACACACTGTAATCTTTTCTCGATTGTTGGTGCTGACTGGGTCGGAAATGTAGTTATCTGCGGTAATCGCATCGTTATCAGAGTGAGAATTGGCTGGTGAGATGCCTCTCGACCAGACGCCTGTACTGTTAATACTGAGCGTTCATACCTTTAAGAGCAAGCACATGGATAATCTCTCTCGTTGAGAAAACCTGAGATAGCCACATATTTGGTAATGCTTTAAATAAAAAACAGCGCGCCGTGCTCGTGGTCTCTAAGCTTGGAAGCCGCACTCAATTTGTGTACTAACATGCAGTATCTATGTGGAAAAGTAACCCCAATATGAAAAAACTTAAAGTGAAATGTCGCGGGTGCTCGCACCATATAACGAGCCTTTTTCGGTCTCGTTTCATGTCTTTATTAACTTGCAAGAGAGGCGAGAACTAGTGGACCAAGCAGAAACTCTTTTTGCCGCTTTATTGTCAGACCCCCTTTCAGAAGCGGCAAGACGTGCGCACTGTCGGCAGGGAGGTGTTTAAAGGCACCATTTAACCAGTAGCTCCGATAGATATCAGTGTAAACAGACTTGTGTTTGGTGCTGATATCTGTTGAAATTCAGTGGACTGTAGTCATAAAGGTGGAAGGGGTATGTACATATTTCAAGCTTATGTACGACTGATATCGAGTGAAATGTTTGGTAGAATATTTTAAAAAGTAGACAAGAGATTAAGGGTAGCAAACAAAATATGTCTAGCTTACATTTTGCAAATCACCGCTCAGATGTAGGTTTCTAGGTTATGAGCCCAAGCCCGGCAAACTCAGCCTCGCCATGAAAGTCGCTCGGCCTTCGGAATGAGCAACTTTGACAGAGCGAACTTTCATATATGGAAGTTTAAGATATATATGGTACTGGCGGAGTGCAATTCGTCGGTAAAATTAGGCTGGAGAAGTGTGCTACTTTGCAGGGCAAAGGAGCTTACAAGCGCCGGTCTCGCAAGGCAATGGTCATCATCTGTCTTGATATCGTGAGGTCGCACTATCCGTTGGTCAGGTCGGCCAATGGGACGCATGATCACGATCATATGTCAAGGAGAATTTCGAGATAAGGCACAGTTAATTTTTTTTTCTTTTTCACGGCAATGATAGACAAAGGTAATCTTGTTGCACCATATCAACAAGATTATAACGCTAGCAAAATTTATTAAAACTGTCGAACCCTCGTTGGGAGAGATAACTTGGAAATGGTTTTTATGCGGGAGCTTGTGAAGTCCCGACTACTTCATGAAGATCTGAACCAAAGGATCATGGCAGTAGCGTTGATAAATTTACGCAGGGACAAGATCAAGCATTGCCACAACTGAGAGCGTGTAGTACAAAGCAAAACAAGCAACAGCTAAAACGAATCTCAATACCGTAAAGACAAAACAAACAACAAGACACTAATTTGATGAACGATGTTTGACTATTCGCGGTAACGCGGAGCTACAGTGGACACAGGCTGAAAGTAAAACTTGCGTGGAAATTATGTAATGATGTATATGCCGCGAAGTCGACTTGCAATAGTAGGTGGACTTTGGCGTGACACAACATATGATATGCTCAAAATTGCTAATGAAGAAGTTTAAGTAAATTGCACTAGTCGGAGCTGATCTCGCAATTTATGATACAATTGTTTCCGCGGTAATGAGGGCGTGGAACTCATGTCAAAAGTAACATTGTAAGTATGGTGTTGTTTAAACTGTTGGAACAGGTGCATGGTGATGCGAATGATTACTTCAAATAGAACCAAGAAGAGATTGCTTAGAAAAGTGTTGCATATACCCGAAATGTCACACAACCTTTACTCCGTTGGAAGCCTAACAAAAGATGTAGGGCCAAATCGCTTAAAAGTTTGGTCGATCTGGGAGTGTCAAAGAGTTAAAATGTAAATTGGTAGTCTGAAAGGAAAATATATTGTTCCAGCTGTGCATGAAGCAAGTTAGCGTTAAGGAGGCCAATGTAAAAGTTCGTTGGGACGTTGAGGGGTCCCCTCGTCGTACATCTGGCACACCGACTCATGTACATTGGTAATTGCGGACTTGATATCGTCACCAGAAGAAAATATGTTTTGAATATTGCGTTTTGTTCATTGAGCAGTGGGATTATATAACAGGTTCACACTAACCTGTTATATAATCCGGCAAACAAACGAGAGTGAAATTTCTGCCAAAATCTCAAAAACAAGCAAAATTTTGTTGGAAGCAATTACAGCGATATGTGGTCCGATGAAGTCACTAACGTTTACTGGCAAACGATATTTCGTATATATATGTAATCGCTTTGAAACAAGTCAAAAAAGTTTGCTCTGTTTGTCGCACCTTACCACTTGCCGAGATTCAAACTTGGAAAGTGGTGAAAGCTCTTCACTGTGATAGCGACGGCTAGTGAGCGTCCGGTGAAAGAGAAAAACCAAATTCTGAAAGCGCCGCAGTATCGTGAGAATACTCACTCGTCTATAAACCCCCGCATCTAAATGGCGTAGCCGAGCGTGTCATCTGTCCACTCGTTGAATAAAAGATTTGCATGATTAGACATATAGATGTTCAAATAAATTTTGAAGGTGAGATACTCA